GATACGTCAAAAGATCACAAATCGTATCTAGTCGAAGACATTACCCTTAAAAATTGAAAAAATTTCCCTCGTTCCCCGTAAATGGGGGAAACCTCCAAAAAAATTACAAATTTAAAAATCGCTAATTTTCGAAATTTTTTCAATTTTTTTTATTAAAAACTGCCGTAACTTTTTCAAAAATGAACATATCAATATAATTTTTTTTTTATATAGATGCTTGATGTCCTTACCTATCATTTGATATATTTTTTTTGTAAATTTGACTCTTTACCTGCCCACAGGGGAGGATTTAATATGACAACTTTTTCACAAAAAATTAATTTTTTCAACTTNTAAAATGACAACTTTTTCACAAAAAATTTACTTTTTCAACTTGACTTTTGAAAATGTTCCGGAAGGTCTGACACTTTTATATATATCTTAAATTAAAGCTAATGTAATATACTCTAATATTAAAAAAAGAAATTTCGGACATTATTTTGTCTCCACGGTGAAAATGGCTACCAAATGCTATTATTGTGTGAAAAACCTCGATTTTATTTTTTACATTTTCAACTTTATAATGCTATAAATAATTGAAAAATGTTTGGATCAACATAATTTTTTCATGAGAAATAATATTTTTTAATAATCCCTTTTTCATTCGACATACTTTATCTTAATCAGGATATTAATAAGGAACTAGCAGATCATGTAGCTTTTGGAATAATCCACCAATTTTTTAAAATTAAACACTATCTAAAGATTTGCATCGAAGCGTTTTTTTTTTATAGTGATTTTAATCACTGTCAGATATCATTATACTTGATCCAACTATGTCACGTCACCACTGTGCCGCGACCCCCCTGTGCTGGGGTTTTTTTTCGTGCTATTATAAAAATCATTGGAAGTGTAATATGATGTCAAAAATAAATTGTGTTAGTCTTTATATGCAATATAGCGATAGACAGCGATAAATATTGTGAATGATCATAAAAATGATTCCATAATCTGAATGTTAAACAACAATACATGATAAAGTTATTTAAAATAATATTTGTCCAAAAATGTAAAAAAACTCACCATTTTTATAAAACCGCATCAGTAGTTCTGGTCACGTATAGAAATTAAATACTTTTACTCGATGGATTATGTTAAAATTATATTTTGAATATTTTTATGAGCCCAATATCTTGAATAAGTTATAGTTTAACAAAATTTGTTAAAATAACAAATTTCAACAGAAATTTGTTTGTTTAATGTTATTGCCGAGAGAGTGAATGTGATGAGACTTAAACCGGATAATTATGTATAAGGGTAAAACAGTAAACATTCGCTCTTTAGGGGTTGCAAATAAGTACTGTCCGAGGATGCCTCACCAAACAGCGAGCTCTGCAATCTACTAAAGTTAAACAACAACCATACGCACACACTTGTTGCCGCCAAACCAAGTGCGGCGACGCAGGGCGTTATTGTCACATCGAAACGTTTTCTAATAGCCTAAACATTAGGCTTATTAAGACTAGAATTTTCTTTTAACTTTCAAGTTAAAAAATATAATACTTTTTTAACAAGCTCCCATCGAGTTTATAAAAATAAAAAAATCATTAAGCCGTCGGTTTTCTATTACGTAATGAAATATAACATTTTTTCACGGGTTATTGCTTCACTACATCTCAATGTCTTCGAAGGTAGACAATAAAATATATTTTTTCTATTAGAGAACTAGAGATTGCGTTTTTACTTTATTTAAGTAAAAATATATTGATCTGTAATCATTATATTTTTACGTTTTAAAATGTTATTTCACTGTGAGTGTTTTCAAGTATTTTAAATTTCAATCGACATATTTAAATTAATCTATTGATCTGTGATAAATTCAAATTAAAAAATTACTTATGGAAAATATTAAATTGCCAATAAAACTGCTAGAACCATAATTTTAAAAAGAAGTTAACATTATGAGATGTCGAACATTTCTCTTTTATTTAGTCATTTTAATGCCATTCAAGCAGAAACAGAGAATTCAATCAGTAAATTTCATAAAATGTAAAAAATGTAAAAAACGTAATTCTTAATTTGGAAAATTGAAAAGCTTTATGGTTTTGAGTTTGATAACTACTCTGAAAACACGAAATAAGTATTTTTTATTTCTCGAAAACCTAATTTAGAAAAATTATCGACAGTGACGACGTGACTAAAGTAAGATTAATATTCGTTCTATCTAGGGAAATTTAGATCACGCTGCATACGTTTATATTCACTTTATTTGAATAATAGTAAAAAAAATATATTTTTTTCTTTTAAAGAATGACCTTTTAAATCCCTAAACACAGATATACTTTAATACCTTTATTTTAAATAATATTTCCTTAATCCCAAAAAATGTTTTTATAGCAACTGTCGCAATTTTTGTTGAAGGGCTAGTTATATTGTAAATACATTTAAGAGTTTAGATTAGATTTTTTATGACAACACTATAAAGGTTAAAAAGGGAAATTCTTAAAAGACAAATATATCGATAATTAAGTTTAAAACAAAATATGGACTTACTTATTTGCAATATTTTAAACAATTGTTTTATTGAAAACCCTCAAAAAGAATAAGTAAAACAAGTTGTTCAGGGTTCAATTCATTCGGGGAAAAGAAAACTGAAATAGTACTATTTTTATATTTGGTTGGCAATTTATGTATGAGTACAGGGTGATTTATTAAGAGTATACACTCATTTCCTTAGAAACTAATGAACATTTTTATTTTGAATAATATAGAAAAATGTTGTTGGATTCAAAAAACTCTACATTAATAATATTATTGTATTTAATTATATATTATGTAGTTAATATTAACATATTAACTAGGTTATCATTTTTTTATCCTTTCTGAGTTTAAAAAATTAAGCTTTAATTTTCGTTAATAGAAAGCTGCATTTTTTGTTTGATGATATGATGAAATAAAATTTCAAACAAATTTTGTTCTTATAATTTTTTTTTTATCCGATGAACCATTTATATGTTACAGCATATTATTTTAAAGAAGGGATATGTAACGCGAGTGGGTACAATTTGTACTGATGTATGTGTATTTCACCAGCGCTACATATCCTACTGTATGAACGGTCCTCTCTCTCCCAGTCATCTTTCTGATGGTCCAAAAGATAAAACAAATTATTAAGACAAAATTACTGTAATTTTTTTCTCTTTATATGATAAAGAAACAATATGTATCATATTAAAAATACGGTTTCCCATTTGAAAAAATTAAAATTAACTTTTTTAACTTTAATGGATAAAAAAAAAGATACATACTATTATAGTTTATTGAATCTAACAATTCTTTCTTTTACAAAAATTAAAAATGTTCAATAGTTTCCAAGAAAAGAAATATCTTAATCTTAATGAATAAGACTGTATAAATACATTATATTGTTATGCTATGTATATATACTAAATTTCATTTAAATTAGCGTTAAAAATAGTTAAGATTATGATAAGCTTATAACATAATTTAACAATCAATTGAACAAGAATTTATAAACTTTTAAAATTAATTATTTTAACCATAAAAATTTCTTTGATTTGTATCTTTTTTATTAGTTTGGACTGAAATACGCTGTATTTAAAAAAAAGCTATACAATTATTATTCTTTTTAATTTAATTACAACTTTTCTTTAACAAACCATTTTTTACAAATTAAAATTATAAATCTTTTAATGACGAAGGAAATTGAATTTTTAGCTTAGTTATTTTTTTTTTTTGAAACAAGACAACTGAATATTATGTACAATCCTTTTTTTTAGAACATGAAAAGATGAGAAGACCTACTGAAAAATCAAAACTAGAGACCAGACGCCTGTCACTTCTGTCGTAAGAAAGCTTAAAGGCTCTAGAGGTTAGAAGAACGAATATTTTGTTAGCTCAGCCTGTGTCGCCATTGAATAAACAAATGAAATTAAAAATAAAAATAAAAGTGTTATATTGTCAGCAGAAAAACTGCAGCAGATTTTATTTATTGGTCATCAAATAAAATCTGCTGCAGTTTTTTCTTTAATTTTTAATCTTTAATAATTTAATAATCAGTAATTTTCTAATTATTGTAAACAAAAAATTGTTCTTAAGTAATTTTTAATATTTTACTGAAAATAATAAAATCCTACGAGTTTCAAATATATTGACTAACAGAAATAATTTGTGCAAAAAAATTTCATTTGATTTAAAAATTTACAAGATATTTTTTTCTGATTCGAGTTTATATTGAGTTTGTTTTATTTATATAGATTATAAAATATGAAAATGTTCTTGTTAAGTCAGTATATATAATTGAAAGTAATAATAATATACCCTTTTAATAGATTGAGTTACGCAAATAATTACAATAAAGTATATAAACATTTTATACATGTTGTATAATATCTAATATCGTATGTAAACATAATTTTTTATTAAAATAACTCATATATTGAAAAAATACTGTTTAAATTTTTACCTTAAGACGTACAATTATGTATACTACATTATAATTACGAATTTAATGTTAATTTTATAGATTTCAAATAAAATTCTTTAATACAGTGTAAAATAGATAAAAATAATATTTCATATAAAAATCATAATAAGACACAAAGAATATTTTGAAGGCATATTTTATTCGATTTTCAAATAACATGATAATATAAATGTTTTACAGTATATATTATATGAAAGATTAGTTATTTTATACTAATTAATACTTTATAAAAAAAAGAAGTTTTTGTTATTATGGTGCATAATTTTATTATTATAATCACATAGATATTTTCTTAATTAAAACGGCATTTTTTTGAAAAATACAAAGCATAGTTAAATGAGTGTTATAAAACGCTTTATGCTATTACAAAATAAATTGAACATAATTACATACAAATCTAGTAGGAAAAAATCTAGTAAAAAAAAGTGTACCAATACTAATGTATTGGTATACTTTTTGTTTGATAATAAATTTCATTAGAAAAATTAGCTTCCAAGTTATCATTTAGTTATAGCCAAATCATCGAGGGATAATATTAAATCCATGTTGTATAAATAGTTCAGTTAGCACTGAGATATGAATAATTTTAACAGAGAACTTTAAAATTAAATTTGTTAATCTGCTGTCAATTTTTTCCATGACGGTTTTTATAATAAATACCGTTTTGATAAATATATGAATTCTAATTTTTCATACTGCATTCCTTGTAGTTTTTAAATGCAAACTAGTGCAATTTAATACAATAAAAAATGTTGCCAACGAAATTTTTTATACAATAAAAACTTGATACAAATAAACTATATCTTGGAATTCCAATGACTCAAATAAAAACTGAATTGAAAAGAATTTGATCCTTTGTATCACGTACTAGACCAAAAATAATTCTTATCACGTCGTCTTTAGTACATAAAAATGAACATAATTCTTATTTTAGTTGTTACTTGTCGAGAATTCGTTATTTTATTTTATTCATTAAATAAAAAACTCCATTGAACTTCTTTAAAAAATATTTGTAAATTTAAAAGTAAATAATAAAATATTATCTAAGTCTTAAAAATTTATGTTCTGAACATGATTTTGAATTTCATTTATAAGAATGTTGTTAATTTCCAAGTAAAAGTAAATTTCTTAATTTAAAATGAATATTAAATAAAATATATATTTACAATTAAGGGAAGCATTCGTCTATTTAAATGAATTACATAATTATGTTTCAGTCAGTAAATTTTAGTATAATCCAATATATAATAATATCTGAGAAATGTTGTTTACACATTTTAAATTTAATGTTATGTGTAAGATAATAATATAAGAAATTATCAAAATATCCCACGTCAGTTTGATACTTTTAATATACACGTTACTTTTACACACAAGTATTATAATTTTAACATATAGTTTCAAAAATTTGTAAATAAACAGATTGTAAAACGTATCTAGCTGAAGCTATCAATGACATAATTTTGAAAAATTCCCCTTAATGCCCTAAATAAAGGAGTCCTTCTCTAAAAATTACAGTAATAAAATGGTCAATGTTGAAATTTATAGTTTTTATTTTATATTTAAATTATTTTTGAAAACTAATTAGATTATTACAAAATTTTTAAAGAATAATTTTTTATCCAATCCAATACTGAACGAAAGTATTGTATGGATTCAAAATCATATCAAATTATTTTACAATTTTTTTAAAAATCTGACATATTTGAACTTACATCAGATTAAAGTTAGAACTGTGCATTAAAACCAAAAATAAAATATTTTTTGGTAAAAATGACTTAATTAAAGTTTTATTACATAGTAATGAAATATTTCTATCGTTCTAAATTATTTAATTTTATATATGATAAAAAATAAAAACGTTCTAATAACTAATCCTCCATAAGTAATCATTTCAATTCTCTTGAGTCAAAAACAATGTAATTTTTGTTAATTATATTTTTTAATTTGTTTCAAATACGCATCAAAGCATTTTATGGCAGTGATTTTAATTAATAATCTTAAAAGTACCTTAACTCTACTACGCTAGATCCTGACTGTAATTAACTTTTTAAGTTTCTAAATGAATAATTCTCATCTCTGCATTATGATCAAAATGTAGCGTCGCTAAACATTACCCAACTTCTTACTTTTTCTGAATCTTTAATTGCTAATATCACGTCAAATAATACAAATTTGGTAATCAATCAGTAAAAATTTTATTTATATCTAGAAATAATTTTTTTCT